CCGGTGCGAGGGCCGTGCGGGGGGAGCAGAATGGACACGTGGAAGGATTTTTGGCGGGGCTGTTTTCTGCTCCGCCCGGTGCTGCTGAGCTGCGATTAAGGGCCCGTGAAGTTAACAAGATGCGTTGTGGCTGCGGCCAAATTAGGTATTAAATATTTCCAAGCATTTCCGAGTGTTCTGCTGTAATAAATACCAATGTGAGGTTTTGATTAATTTTCTGGATCAGAATTTTCAAGGCTTCACTCTCGTGTCTCCCAAGTAAGTTTAGTTTTTATTTAATGGCGTGAAAACGCCTCAACAGCTTGCGCTGGATTAGCGTTCAGACGCCCCCCTCCCCTCACGCACGTACTTCCACCTCGGGCTGGACCTGTCACGCACTGTGTAGAGCAACAGTGGCACCCAGTGACTGCAGAAGCTCATCACAGACCCAGCCGAAGGAGCCGCGAGCTTTCGGCATCGAATCTTCAAATACGTAGGGAAGCAGAATTTCGCATCCGTCCTGGCGCTGCGTTCTTTCTCAGTCTGGAAAAGCGAAGCGCCTTGGGGAGTTGCTTTGCTCATTTGGGGGGATGTTTTGAGCATCCTCCGCGCTCCAGTTCTTCACACGGGTCCCTTTTCCAGGTGTCGGGCAGTTTCCGGATAGTCCTGCTCTTCGCCGTCTCCCTGTGCATCGTGCTTCCCCTGAGCCTCCAGAGGAACATGATGGCCTCCATACAGTCCTTCAGTGCCATGGCTCTGATCTTCTACACCGTGTTCATGTTCGTGGTGAGTACGGGCGCCGGGAGCGCTGAGTTCCTGTTGTTCTGAGGCGGACGTTCCCGCTGGGACAGCCTGCAGGTGTGGGTCTGGAGTTCAAAAGGTCCTTCCTGATAATTAGCGCTGCTGGTGCCGGGCGTAACGAGCCATCGGGGTGCTCGCGCTCTTGAGGCGGGGAGGCACAAACTGGAAACTGGCCAGGGGGGTCTGTAAGCTGTTACGCATGCCAGGGACCGCGGTGGCGCAAATAATGATAAACCACAAGTCGAGCTGTGGTTTATTCTGCTTGTTGGTGTCTTATAATGTAGGGGCTCTGAACTTGGAATCAAAGGATGGAAGATGTGGGGAAGAGTGCTTGGAAGCAGGAGGACTTTCATCGTGCGCGTGTTTTGCCTTGAAAAGCTCGGTGCTTCTGATCTGCAGGGGGAAGGCAGCTCTCGTTAAGAGCTCGGGCGTGTACTTTGCATGCTTGCTTGCAGCCTGAAAGACGTTAACCATCAGCTGCAAAAAGTTTTATTTGTCTAACACCAGCACTTCTGTTTCTTGAGCATTGAAAGCTTTGTGAAGTGTGGTGTATACTTAACTTGGATATTTCTGAAGTCTGGTGTATACTTGGATATTTCCAGAAAAGTTTTTCTTCACTGGGATGAACGGATTCTTGACCATTTAGATTTAGTAGGGTAAGCTGAGAGGTACCTAAAGCTGGCCCTGTTTGCCTTGACCAAGCCCCCTTGTGTCACATTTACGGAGAGGTGGAGCCTTCCAGTGGGTTTTTAATGACTGAGTTTCACCTGACAGATGCTCATGTGGTTTGCTCCGAGAGCCCCAGCCCTGTCTCTCCCAAATGACAGGACTGGAAGAGCTAAAACAAAAGGAAGAAGAGGGAGGTGTGGAAATTCTTTCCACTTAACTTTTTTTTTTTCAGTAGGTTGTGCTGGGTCACGCTTCTGCGCTCGCCTCGGTGAGGAGGCTGGAAGCTGTAAACGAGCGTTTTACAAACCTGCCGTGCGCCAGGAGCTGTGCCTTTAAGAAAAACCACAACATTTCATGAGAGTTGGCTGCACTAAAACGTAATCTCTGGGGATTAGAAAACCCCCATTCAGGCGATATTATAAACAGGCATTCAGACATATTTACCTTCTGTTTCCTGTGCAACCCAACGCCTGCCAGTTTCCTTGTCAATGGCAAAAGCGCTCGTCTGGGTGCCTCGCTCCCCCTGCTTCCCAGAGTTTATCCTTCCCTTTGGTGAACTGGTGGTGTTAAATGGCTCTGGAGGAGCAGGGTGCAGGTGGGCTCCTGTTTTAGAACCTTTGTCTCTCTCCGCTGAACAGGATTCTCCAAGGCCAACGTTGCTTCCCGTTTGGATTTAAAAGCGCGTTTAAAAGAGCGCAGAAAGAAATCCCTGGGAACAATAATTCTCCCAGTGAAATGTGTCAGTGGAAATTGTTCCACCCTGGTGCGTGCTGTGATGTCTGAGGGCATCAAACAAGGGGGGAATGTCCTGGATCTTTTACAATATGCCTCAGGATCCTTGGTGGCGAGGGGCCCTTGGAGGTTGCTGGGAGCTTTAATAAAGTGCGTGGATGGGGTGGGGAGCTGGGGGGTTTGCCTAACAGACGTGGGGCTGCGGTAGGCAGCGCGAGCTGTTCCTCACCGAGCTGCCCCGCGCTGCCTTTCATCCCAGCACCGGCGTTACTGCTGCCGTGGGGTTGTTTCGGGTTGGGGCTTAACCCCTTTCCTTTCTCTTGGCTACAGATCGTGCTGTCGTCCTTCAAGCACGGCCTCTTCAGCGGGCAGTGGCTGCAGCGCGTTAGTTACACCCGTTGGGAGGGTATTTTCCGCTGCATCCCCATCTTCGGCATGTCGTTCGCCTGTCAGTCGTAAGTACCTGCCGCTCCCGCTTCCGGCAGCGCGTTGTCGTGAGGGCAGAGGGTCAGGAGGGTCTGCAAGGGAGAGATACCATCTGGTTTCCTATTTTATTTTAATCAAAATCTTTTACAGCCCACTGAAGTACAGCCTCTCATTCCGTTTGTGACCCTTTTGTTCCCTAGGTGGGGGAGGGGGTTCTACTTCACTTGGGAGTTATTGCACTTGAGCCCCACGAGATCATTTGGGCCAAACAGATCCTCAGTGTAATGCACGTGGCTTCTGGTGCAGCTGCGTAAGAGATGAATTTCCCCCGTCTCCTGAAGGGAATGATTTAGTACCAGGAAAGGCAGCGGGGCTGCGTCGCCTGATGGCCTCAGGGCCCCCTGCAGGGTGGCGGCTGCTCCCCGGATTTCTCCGAGAAGGCTTGGAAGGGCGCACGGGTGTTGCCTTTGGAGAGTTGGCTGCACTTTTCCAGTTACCTGCTGTCCATGAGGGTTTCCGTTGGCCCCTGGGAGGACGTGGCGGCCGGGCCGGGCTGCTTTCACCTTTCTAGCGGCGCTACCCTCCGCCCCAAAATGGCAAGTGAGCAGTACGTGCCTGGCCAGAACAGCAACAGACTTTAAATAGATGTGTAAATCCAAATGTGGACACGGAAAAGACCATCCTCATTTGGAAGGCTGGCAGAGTTGGGCTTTCCCCCCCTGTAGTTGTAGCAAATGGGTAGCGTGCCAGCAGTAAATGAATGTGACAGATAAAATTTGTTCAGACTGCTGTGTTTACACCCACACGCAAGATCCAAATCATCATTTTCCACTTACCGGCTCTCTTGGCAACTTGGTTTCTACCCGAACACGCTCCAGTCGTGCTGTTTAATGTCTCCATTACAACTGGCAAAGGGAATTGTATTCTTTTACAGCTTTACCTTTTTAACATTTTGGAGTTTTTAAATTCCCTTTTTTTTTTTTTTTTATTTCTTATGGTGGCCACACAGTGTCCAGCACGCTTTTGCCGAGAGCTGGAAATGCAGGGAAATCGTTTGGCCTGGAGCAGTGTGCACGTGCCCGAGCACAGGCTCCGTGGCAGCACTGAGGTGGCGAGCTGAACCTAAAGCTGTGCATTTTTGTGAGCATCAGGGTGATGCGCTGTCCCCAGCCCAGGCAATCTTTTTGTTGTTCCCAGCTAGGTAGGTTTAATTTTGCTAACCTCTGGATCGCCTTTTTTAAAAAATTAAGTAATTCTAATGTAAAGCAGAAATTCTTTTCCTTCAGCATGTAAATGCAGCGCGCAGTAAAGACAAATAAATGCGCTGTTGTACTAGCTTGAACAACTTGACCCTGCTTTCCTTGTGAGTTCGATACCCTTTGCTTTTTAAAAGCTATCCTGGTGTTGCTAAAGTTGCAAAGTAGGTCACTCCTCTACAGTGATGTAGGGTGGAAATCTGCTGTGGAGCTGCAAGCTGGGAGCGCGAGGGCTCCAGGGTTACCTCTGCTGCAGCCTCCTTGCGTGACCTCAGTCGAGTCACCGTACCCTCTCATTAAAGAGGAGTCAGCAGAGCTTTCCAGCAGAAAACTTCTAATTTCTGGAGGTGGCTGTTGCAGTGTGGATGGGTGCAAAAGTGCAGAATTCACAGGGATAATCAAAGTCAGGGTGGTTCCTTGCTTCTGCGAGCATCGCTTCCCTGCAGGCTGAGTTATGCTGCGCTCAGAGAGCCTGTGCGAGGTGGTGCCTCCAAGCGAAGGTGAAGAACTGAGGTACCTCTGTCCGTCCCTGAAGCAAGGCTGCTTTCTCCAAGGCTGCTCTCAATGCCTGGGCTGACTCTCCTGCTCGCTGCTCAGGAGGAACCATCTGCTCGGGCCCTCTTCGAGGCGCAGCGTAACAGAGAACGTGGGGAAGGATCCCTGATCCTTCGCTGCCCCTCAGTGCGGTCATTTTGCTTGGAAGTCAAGCTCGGCTGTGTCAGGCCCTGCTGCCTGCGGCGTGCTGCTTGTCCTCGGCTCTGCCTTGAGAGCTGGCGGGGGTCAGGAGGGCCCAGCAGCGTGTCGTGGGGGTTTGGGGGCCGCTGTGCTGCTCCCCCAAACCCCAGCTGACCAGGCGGGTGAGCGCAGGAGGCCTGGGTGCAGCCGGACTTGGCGTGGCCCTTTTCCCCGGGTCACTGCTGTTGTTCCTGCTCTAGCACGACCCTGGCCTGGCTGTGCCATCCCACGCGCTGCAGAGCCTCTCTGCTCCCCTCCTTTCCTCTCCTTCCTGGGCCTGCGTGCTTGGTTGGCCCCCTTCCCCTCCTGGGGCTGAAATCTGGGATGTAGTCGGTTAATCTGGCTGTGTTGAGGGCAGGGAGGAATCCGAACTGGAGAGACTCCTGGGGAAGCCGGTCCCCTTGCTCCCTGCCAGTACGTGGCTGTCACGGCACTGCGGTTGCAGGCCCTGCCCGTGTCTCGCGAGCCGATGTGCTCAGCTGCCTTTGTGCAGAACCGTGTGACGTCAAGGGGTTAAGGATTTTTCTGCTTGGCCTCATCTTGACGCACTTTCTGTTAGTGGCTTTGTGCCCACTGGAGCTGGGGATACCCCCTTCCCCCCTAACTGGATGCTCCCCCCTTTCTTGTGAGAGTTGCTTCAGTAACATGAAGCCAGGATGTAGCCACTTGAATAAAAGTAACAAGAGGTTAATGAGTTGCTAAAACATGCACCTGATGTCAAGAAGTGCATTCCACATGCTTTCCAAGCCTGTAAATACCCCAAATCCCATGTAATTGGTGCTCCCGGCTTTCTACGAACTGAGCTCGAGCAGCAGCGCTGAAATATGACGGGTGCTGCATTTAGTCCTGTTTGTTTAACTTTTCTTTCAGACAGTGTGATGCTCTAACCTTCTTCCTGCTTTTCCTCTGTAAACACTGCGTTGCTTTAATTATCAGCCTGGGGAGCTCCAAGAACAATAATCTCCCATGCGCTGCCTGGCCTGGTGCCACTGGTGTTTCACTGGAACAAACGGTCATTCATTTTGCAACACTTTTGAACCAAAATGTTTACATCACACGTTTAGCTCCACGTGGTGGGGTGGGGAGAGCAGGAATATTTTTGCAACACTTGGAGTTATGAGTGTTCTGAAATCTCTTGGCATTAGCAATATAAATTGTGGAATAGCGGCGAGTGTTTATGCTCCATAGGGGGAAGGTGTCAGGGATTCTTTGCTGCTGGGCTGAGGCAGGGAACGTGCTGGAGTTGGGTTTTTTCTCTCTCTCTGCAGGAGGTTTCCTTAAATAATTTACCCTTTTCTACAGTCAGGTCTTGCCTACCTATGATAGCTTGGATGAGCCGTCTGTTAAAATCATGAGCTCCATATTTGCTTCTTCCCTAAACGTGGTCACCACCTTTTACATCACGGTAAGAAACTTCCCCTTCTCTTTCCTTGCCAGAAGTCACGCTCCGGAGGGGCAACAGGGGCTGAGGATTTATCTTCAGTTGGGGCTGGTTTCTGCTTATCTGTGTTTATTCTGAAAGATAAGTTGATTTTGCTGAAAGCAAAATTAGATGGGAGGTGACGACCGGACCCGTGCAGGAGGCGTTTGGAGAGTCCAAATTTCCAGCGTGGCACGTTGCCTGGGGTGGAGGCAGGGCGGAGACCCAGCTCTTCCATCCGCATCAGCCCGCTGCCTGCCTGCCGGGGCCCGGCCTGGAGCTGGAGCTGCCGCCCGGGGTTCAGGAGAGCTTCTTCCAGCCTGTTGCAGTTGGGAGGATGCGCAGGAAGTTCTGCCTCATAAAGCACCAGTTCATAAAACGGAGTTGTTAATTCCTGAGAAGAGCCTTGCCCCGTGAGCTCGGCTGCTGCGGGGAATCGTTACGGCCCCTCCTTTGTCGGAGGACGTCCGTGGGCCTGGCAGTGAGTGTCGCTGCTCTGTGTCACGGGCAGTGGCGGCGTTCCCTCGCTGCAACGTCCTCCTGAAAGCCCCCTGTATCTGGGGAGAGTCTTGCCTCTGCTCTTGGGAAGGTCCCGCTGTTCCTTAACCGCCCGTCTCGCCTTTTGGGCGTGCTGGGGCTGCTGGCGGGTCGCCCATGGAGGTGATCCCACACTCCCTCCTTGGCTGGCTGGGCCTAACTCGTGGGAGGTCACTGACCTCCACCCTTGTGTAAGGAGCGGGTAGGAATGTGCTTTGGAGCCAAACCCCCTCCGCTCACCTCCCCTCCTGCTGGACAGGTGGGCTTCTTTGGCTACGTGAGTTACACTGAAGCCATTGCTGGGAACGTCCTCATGAACTTCCCTTCCAACCTGGTGACGGAGATGATTCGAGTGGGATTCATGATGTCGGTAGCTGTGGGGTTCCCGATGATGATTCTGCCGTGCAGACAGGCGCTGAACACCCTTCTCTTTGAGCAGCAGGTAAGATCCTCTTGTGTGGCCGGGAGCAGCTGGCTGCCTTGGTGTGCACCTTGGAAACTTGCTTTTTGAAGGGCTACTGGGACTCTTGGGCTTCTGCTGCTGTCCTGGGCTACAAACGTGCCTTGGTTCTCTGGGGCTCCCCTGACAACTGCGTGTTTCTGACTTGTGGTAGGTACTCGCTCTCCGGAGGGACAAACCCTCAACTCGCAGTAAAATCCCAACTGCCTGGTGTGTGGTAGCGGTGCAGCAGGAGGCCTGTGGCAGTCTAAATCCTGCTCTGCAGAACGCTTAATCTCTGGGACTCCGAGGTTCTTGTCCTCTCTGCAGAGGAATTTCGTGGGCAGAAGCGCTGGGGTTGGGAGCCTGAAGCCTGCTGTTGCTCCGCTGCGCCCCAAGTCCCGTGGCTGCTACTTCCCTGCCCCGGCGGGGATTTCGGCCCTCGCACAGAAGTGTGACACAGTTCAGAGCCAGAGTGGTTCTCCCCCTCGGGAAGAGGGAGAAATGTGCTTTTGGAAACAGAGGAGCCTCCTTATTTCCTGCTGCTCCAGCTGGCATCCTTTTCCTGGCCAACTCGATTTTTGCTTTGCATTGAGCTCAAGCTTCTGTTCCTGGCCTCCGAGCCCAGCCCAGCCTCATTTCTTCTCGCTTCTGTGTGTGCCTGCTCATTTCTGCTCTGTTATTCTCATCCTTCCACCTTTGTCAGTAGCCCCCAGAGCAGATCGCCCCCGCCCCGGGGTTCAGATGTCCCCTTCCTCCAGTGCCTTCCCTGGCTGTTTGGTGCCGGGCTGGGGCAGAAGCATGCGGTGGAATACAGCCCTCTCCCACACGTTCACCTTTCCCAGGGTCAGATCTTCAGACAGCCTTTGTGACTATAGTTGGTCTGTCTGATTTAGACTGTGAGTCCCTTGTGGCAGTAGCGTGTTCTCCTCTGTGTATTGTACGGCACTAAGCATGCCGATGGTATTCAGTAAATAACAGTAAGAGATTGTGGGAATGTTCTGAGGCTTTTGTGTATCTGCATAAATAGAAACCTCTTAGGGCAGGAAATAAAACTTGAGCAATTTATAGCTCTAAATCCTGCCACTTCTGCCTGTGAGAAGCCCCCGGCTCTTTTCTCACGTCAGGAGGGCCTGAGGATGGGGGAAGACGGTCGGTGAAAGCCAGCGAGTGCAGAGGAGTAAGCGCTGGAAAGGCTTGGGAAGACCTTGGTTCTCGCCTGGGCTCAGCTCTTTGCTCTTGGGGCTCTGAGTGCGTCACTTTGCTTTCCTCTCCCATCTGTGCAGCCAGGAGAGCGAGGACCTGCTGGTTCTCCAGGGCATGTGGGTTCGCTGGGTCCTCTGCCTTCTGCTCAGACAGAGGGGATGGGATGGGAAGTGGAGGGTATCTGGAAACCCTCCGGTATCAGCAGCTCCCAGCTCCCCAGCAGCACCGAGCCTCCTCTCTGCCATCTAGCTGGGGTGTCTTCCGTCGAGTCAGAAGAGCCGGTACCTGTGGTGTGACGCGGTGGGAGTAGCCCAAGGTGTTAGGGGACTGTAGCAAAACCAGAGCTCTTCCCCCTGTGACCCTTTCCCCTCCTGCCTTCTCAGCTGCGCTTCTTTCTCATGCCTCTGGCCCTGGGGCCACTCGCCGAGGCTGGGCGGCTGCGGTGCTGGCACAGGGACGGGGCTGCAGCTGTACCGTTCCCATTTGGGGCAGGATGGAAACGGCAGCTTTGGCTCGGAGCCGCCCCTCGCTCTTGTGGTGGAGGTTCAGATGCAGTTGTGTATTAAAACTACTCAACCACGTCTAACTGCCCCCCCGCCCCCAGCATTGACCTCTGTGGAGACCAGGGTGTGGAGGCGACGAAGCTGCTGGGGTAATTGCTCAGGAACTGTGGGGTTGCGATGCAGGAGCTAAACTCATCCTTCCCCTCCTGCCCTTTCTCTTCCAGCAAAAAGACGGCACCTTCGCTGCCGGGGGTTACATGCCCCCGCTTCGGTTCAAGGCCCTGACGCTGGCTGTTGTGTTTGGAACCATGGTAGGAGGCATCATGATCCCGAACGGTGAGTGAGGGGTCAGGGGCAAGGGTTGGTTGCTCACCTGGTTTCTCTGCTCTCTTTTATTTGCTTTTCTGGGTGGGGTGGCCAGGCTCGCTGGGCTCGCGCCCCAGCCTGCCCAGGGGCTCAGGCAGCCACGCCGGCAGTCCTGGAAGGGGCCTTTGCTGACTCCTCTTCTCCTTTACCAGTGGAAACGGTCCTGGGCCTGACAGGTGCTACCATGGGAAGCCTCATTTGTTTTATCTGCCCGGCTCTTATTTACAAGAAGATCCACAAGAATGCACTTTGTTCACAGGTCAGTGCTGATGCTGCTTGACATCCCCCTAAGCCCTCGGCAGAGCCTGGGAATGTAGTTAATTTGGCTGCAGCAGAGAAACTGCTCAACACCCTCCTCCAGCCTCCCCCTCCAGTCTGCCCAGTACAGGTGGGAGCTGTTCTGGTCGGCTGTTCTGAGCAGCACCACTTATGGGCATGCAGGCAGCAGCAGAGGAGGTGCCGGCCCAGTGCATGGCCTGCCCCGTGCTGGAATACCGGCTCTTTTTGTCCCTCCAGCAGCACGTGAAGCCTTTATTTGGTGCATAAAATGCTGCTTCCAGTCCGCCTTCTGGTGGACTCCAGGTTCTGTCTCTGCAGAATGGGAGGTCCAGGCAGCCCGTAAAACCTTAACGTCCCTTACATCCCAACCTGCCGGGGCTGGGTAAAATAAACACCGTTCCTCAGCGATGCAGGCCTCGCTGCTGACCCTCAGCTTTCTGATTTCAACGAAAATAATAATAAAAAGGAACACACACATAGAGGTGTTGCTTCAGGAATGGATTTTTTAAAAAATCGGGGTCGTTCAGAGGCTGTTAGAAGTTTAGCTTTTCCTTTTGCTCCAGTTTGAATTGGCCTCCTCGGGGACTGAGACAAAGTGGCTTTTTGCTGGGCTTGGTCTCTCTGCTTCTGCAAAGACTGTGCTTTTGTGGCGCTGAAATTACCGTTTTTTGGTTTGTTTCTAACAATAATTGAATCCACTGCCTTTTAGCAGGCCTCTGCCCCAGCGTTACCAGTCACGACAGTGCTGGGCTGGGAATAAGGTTTTCGGCAAACTGCAGAGTCAGCAGGGGGAGAGCACGACATTTTTGTGGGTCCTACAGAACTAATGGCTTTTTCTGTGTTTAATGACTTGTGGGTTTGCAAACGTACATGAAGTTTTTAAGCAGGGTGTGTGTTTTTTTGTTGGTTTTTTTTTTCCTCTTCCCGTGCTTTCTCTGACACGAGGAAATAGTCCAACTTTCCAGCTTTCACTCTGAATTCTGACACTTTGGTTCTAACTTCTTTGACTGAAACCCCAAGCAGGAGTCTGAATGCCAGCCTGGATTTTTCAGGGAAACAAAGAGCACTTTCAAGAATTGCTTTCTATTCCGGCCGAGCCAGGACGTTTCTCTGCAGTGCCTTGAAACTGCACTTAGGATGTGCTGAGCTCTTAGACTGGCTGCCCAGAGGCGACTGTCAGCTGCCTGGGGTTGAACACTGGGGCCTTCACAATGCTTGACCTGAAACGCTGGTCACAAGGCTGGTGAAGAGGTTTGTCCTGCAGAAATCCCCACAAAGGAATAAGGGCTTATCTAAAGCATCAGCCCCCAGGTTACCCTGGCGTTTCAAGGGGCTGGTCCCAAGCTGTCCAGCCTTCTGAGTGATCCATCGCCTGTCAGGTTTGCATACTTGCTTTGACCGATGCTCTGAAGTGCTGTGGCGAGGGCACACCTGCCCTCAGAACCGCGCTGGGCTGCACAGCACCCCCCCGCCTCCGCTCTGGAGCTGAATTCTAGGCCCACCCTCTCCTCGTTCCTCCAGGTCTTCTGCAAAGACTCATTTATTCTTTCCCCGAAGCTCTGTCTTTGGTCTAAAAATGCTTTTCTTTGATCAGGCGCTCCACTCCATCAAAATATGCCTCGGTGAGAAGTGGCAGTCAAGGGGGAGACGGAGCCAGCCCTGGGCATAGCTGTCCCTCCCTGCTTTTCCCTGTCTGCACAACGTACGTGTGTTCTCTCTCCCTCCATCACCTTTAGCTTGCTTCCAAAGCAGCAGACCTTCTCAGTGCCAGCTCTTAACGCTTGCCTGAATTATCTCGACTGTCCTGGTTCTGCTGCTGAGAACTGGCTGCTTTTATGGGGCCCCCTCTGGCATCCCACAAAGTCCCGTCTCGGGCAGCTTACGGGGCTGGTGAGATAGGAAATTCAGATTTACAGAGCTGAGAAGGTGGTGCAAGCTACAAAACAGGGAAGCTGCACTAAAAGTAGTGAAGAGGGTTCTGGGGGGAGGGATAGGGGCAGTCCCAGATGTTTGCTGGCCAGCGAAGAGCACCGCTGGCTTTTGCCAGTGAGCTGTTCGTTATCGCTGGGGCTTGGGGGTGGCTTGGCTGAGAGGCTCGCTGTGTTGGGAAGATGATCGGATAACAGAGCAGTTAAAAAAGCTTGAAGTGAGGCATGTGGTGCTGGGAATGAGCTGGGGAGAGCGTCCCCTTTGTTGTGGTGAAGCATCACGCGTGTTCCCATCGAGGTGCGGGTTCGCGTTCTGCTGCCCTCCGGGAGCCTCGGGGCGGGGAGCAGAGCGAGGTTTGGCAGAGTGCTGCTGAAGGTCGCGTTAAGGTCTGTAAACAGAGTGTTTAACTTCTAACAGGAAGGTGTTGGCTTCCCAGTGTTGACACAAGCCTGTCCGAGAGGCCCCTCCTAGGGAGGCCGGAGTTGCTGTTGTCCCAGTTGGGGAAGAGGAGCTGCGGAGAGGCCGCTCGAGGTCAGGGAATGACCCCCCTGGCCTCGCTCCTGTGCGGATGGAAAAGA